ATAATTCAATTTCAATTCCTCTGAAACACCACTAAAACTACAGTCGAGGGATTTTTTTTTTTTTTTTTTTTACCCTATAAACCTATAAATATAGAGAGAATAGAAGAGGAGGCAATAGCAACAAAATTTTGGAAGCTGGAATGCAGAAAATTGACTTAGGATGTGGTGGGGAAAGCCAAAAACTAAATCGATGTATATCAAAGAATATTCCAAAGGCTCAGGAACTAAGTGGACCTTTGGAAGTGGGGGCTTAAAAAGGGATATTACATAAGGATTGACAGAATGCAGTTTTAAAATAGATTCCCTGCCCCTGGAGTGCGGGCTGGACTTCATGACTCTCTTCTAAAGAATAGGGTATAGACAGAGAGCAATTGTAACTAGAGAAACCTAAGACACTGTCTTAGCCAAGTGCTGAAGGTTAACATCACCAGTCATAAGTCATGTTGATAGCACATATCCCTGATGCGATGCAATGAAAAGGGTGGTTCACCTCTGGGGTAGTCTTCCCCAAAATCCATATTCCCAATGTAATCATGACAAACCCAAATTGAGGAACAGCCTACAAAATACCTGGCCAATACTCTTCAAAACTGTCAGGGTATGCAAGATAAGGAAAGACCACACAATTGTCACAGACTGGAGACTAAGGGAACATGATGACCGAATGCAATGTGATATCCTGAAACAGAAAAAGGGCATCAGTGGAAAAACTGGTGAAGTCCATATAAAGTCTGTGATTTAGTTAACAGTATTGTACTCATGTTAATTTCTTAGTTTTGGTAATGCAGCTGGATTATGGAAGATGTTAACATTAGAGGAAGCTTGAGGAAGAGTATACAGGAACTCCATAATATCTTTGCAACTTTTTGTAAATCTAAGATTATTTCTAAATAAAAAGATTAAAAAATACAAAAAGGAGAAAAGGAGATAGAGCTCTAGCTCCTCTGTCGTGACATTGAGTAACTACTCCCATGGAAGACTAGAACTGGTGAACGCAGAATGGCAGAACAGCTATGGGAACAAGTACTCCACTGGAAACAGGAGCATGAACTTACGCACATGCATGCTGAATGCTAAGACCCAACACCAAACTTAGAGCTGGGCCTGGGCCCCACACGTTAAAGAGCTCTATACATCAGAGAGAGAGAATAAATGTATAAATTCATGCTGGCACAGTGCAGGCCACAACCTTAAATATTTCCTTTTGTGACACTAACTTCATTTAGGCTCCAGGGAGATGCTTCTACACATCACTTGCTCTTGTCCTCCTTTCTCCTCAAAATACAAGGCGACTGTCCCTGAATCCTATGTCGGTGTGTGGGTTGTGCTTCTGCTTCAAAGCCAGACTTTGCTAAGGAGAGAATTTGAACAGTAGAAGCACTTTGGTAAGAGAAAATACAAACTAATTAGTTTAACAAATCCTTCCTCTCTGAGAGCATGAATGAAATAGATACTTGTATGCTAAAGTCTCAAAGCATCAAATGTCCGTTTTTTTTACTTCACTTCAGATTCCAGTTGGAGTATCCAGTGATATTCACTAATTAGCATACTATTTGATGCTGTTATACACGGCAGCTGAGAAACATTTTGTAATATTAAATAATTCATATTACTCTTAAATCTGTGTGTGTATATGTCTGGATGTAATATATGTAAAGAAAGATATTCATATTTTACGCTGACAGATGGATACTGATTCTAGAATTGTAATTAGTTTTACTTTTATAAAATGTTTAATGTGATTTAATTAAAATATTACATTAAAAATTCCAGCTTTAAATATTTTTCAAATTTTTCTATTCTTTGATTATAATTTGTATCTTGCCTTTTAATTATAATAGATAATTTTGAATGTTTTAAAAGAAAAATAAGTAAGGTTTACAATGACACACTAAAAGTCTAATATAGCATTATTGTCAATAAATCAAAATTCATATGAAGTTTCAGTGTAACATTTTGCTGAAATTAAAGCAAGGGAAATAAAATTTATGGAAAAGAACATAATAATTTATTAGTTTTGCAAGCCTTTACTACTCATCCAAACACCACCAACTCAGAGATTTGCAATAAAAATTAAATTCAGTTGTCTGATAATTCACAGATTTTTAGTCAGATAAAAACCCAGGTTTCAGATAACTTTCAGATTTTTTGTGAAAGTATGTATATCAAGACAAGAGAATTTATTTAGTAGCTTGATTTATAAATTTTAAATATTTAGACATGTGGTGTGTGGGGGGGTCCATTAATATTTGTCCTGGGACATAAAAGTCTATTTAAATCAGCAATCAGTACCAAGAAAAATGAGAAAAAAATTTAAAATAAGCAATTTTTACCTTCAGGAAAAACAAAAAATAAGAAATGTGATCATAATACATTACGATGTTTGGCTACAAATAACATATGCATAGGTATAATGTAAATACTGAATATTTACTCAGCCAAAAATTATATTGAGAGAATGAAGAAAGCAAGCAGAGAGGATGGCAGCATGAGAGATAAATCCTCATGTATCATAAGGGAAGTCACTATACAAGATCTGAAATTGTTGCTCCCACTCCCCACAACAGAAGGGATTCACGGTAAGCTATCTGCCAACAGAACTGGCTGGATGCCTACAGGTGGAATGCTAAGTCTAGGTCTCAGAATTGGTTGCTGTTGCTGGCAAACTGGGTCCTCAGCAATGGCATGCCTAAGGCAGCCTTGGAGAAGGGAAGTCCATGAGGTGGAAGCCCGTGCATAGCCTTCATCACTGACATCATGGCCACTGTGTTGACAAACCCATTCAGCAAGCACTGGGCTGGTTGGAGAAGAAGAGAATTGGCATTTACAGAGGGGGCCATCGTGAACATCTTAACATCAAGAGCCTCTTCCGCAATGGAGAATTTCTGGTGAGCCTTTCATGAAAGCAAGATGGATTGGAGGAGGGGAGTCTAGGGAGGGTTTGCTTTATCTATTTTGCTTGAATTTTTAACAACAAGAAATATTCACATATTATTCCTACAAGCAAAAGGAAATTTTAATAAATTAATTTAACAATAGTAAACCTCCCTGAGATTAGATGATCACATTCACCCAGCAATTTGGTGATCATGCCCACTACTTGTTCATTTCTGTCACAGGACTCTGCCACCCCCATGGAAATTAGCACTCTCATTTCAAATGCAGCCCTTCCCATCAGCATTCTCAGCCTAGAAAGGGCAGCCAGTGCTTTTTAATGATTCTGATGCTTCCTTCACTAATCCACTCCTTGTGGCAAAACTAAACATAGTCTTCTGGAATAGCTCAGAGGACATACGAGGAGTGTATGGACAGATTGCATGATAGACCTAATCTTGCACTCCTACACCCTAAAATTTTTTATTCCTTCTTTTAGGCCGAATTCTTCTGACTTTTCAACGCTATTTGGGATTAGCCAGCTCAGTACGTTGTTAGCACCACAGCTGGCTGCCCAGGCCACCACACTGACTGCCAAATCTCTGGCAAGTGCAATCTTATCAATTATTCAGCTTCATCTAAAAATTCCATTTCCATTTCCTTGGTCAAGCACCCTCAAATCCATTTCTGCAAATAGTCCCCATATTTTCATGACATAATTTAGCAAATTCCTATAACTCTTGTGGATGTAACACTTAACCTTTCCTACTTTGATCCTATATTTTGCCTTCTGAGATATGTTAAGTTTTAATCCTGGTTACCAGATAAGCTATAGTGAAAGATGGGGCATGAGATGACTTCCTTGTTTTCTTTCTCAATGAGTCGTGGTTTCCTTAAGCAAAGACTACATAAAAGGTAACACTTTAGGCCAACAGTTCTCAAACCAGAGGCAATTTCCTCCCTTGCTTCACCTGGGGGATATTTGGCAATATCTGGAGACGTTTTTGATTGCCATGACTCAAGGATGGGGTGCTACTGGCATCTGGTAGGTAGAGGCCAGGGATGCTGCGAAACATCTTACAATGCACAGGACAGTGCCCCTCCCTCCCCCCCGCAACAAAAAATTATCCAGTCCAAAATGTTAGTAGTGCCACAGTTGAGAATTCTGTTTTAGATAAATCTAGGAGTTTGGGGTTGTCTAAGCCTTGATTTCTCTCATATATTGCTATTCCATTTGTCAAGACCTCACTCTCCCCTAATCTAGCTTAACCTAACATTCATATAAAATACTTGGCAAAGTATGTGAATCCATGTACTAATATAATTTACCAAACCACAGAATCAATCTCTGAATTTGGTTTTCAGTTACCTCAGCCCTATGACTACAAGCCAATAGAGATTTTTTCCAATGCTATCCCATAAAGGCTTTGGTTTCATTCCATTAAGGCAACACTTTTGCAATTTGAGTATGTTACCTACATGCTTTAAATTATCCCATGTAATTAAAGGCGCCCATCATGTATCAGTCACTCCTGTTCCCCTTTAAATTGATTTATGGCAATAGCTTTCTGGTTCCCCACAGCCTCCTCCTCAGTGCGTATATAGTCCCATATGACCTTACAAGATAACTTGATCAGCTATTTTGCCAGTTTATAGTATGAAATGCTACTTTACTATCATGGGATATGAAAGGAAGTCTTGGCCTTTTGCCTGATCTCTATGTAATAACTGTATCCCTGAGGATGTGTCTGGAACCACTACACAGGAAGCTCCATAGAGGCAGGGACCATGTCCATCTTATTAATCACTGTATCCCCAGCACCTAGGCTGTACTTGGTATATGGTAAGCACCAAGTTATTATTTGCTGAATGAATTAAGAAAGTCAAATGTCAATTCCTCTAAGAAACTTTTTTATTATAGTGCTTATTACATATTTTTCTTCATCTGTTTCTCCTCCCTGACTCTCTCGAGACAGAAACCTAATAACCAACATATCTAGTAACATAGTAACCAAGGTACAGGGAAGACTTTTCAAAGAACTCATCTAATAAAACCAACAGCCCTACTACCATCCTCAAAGGAGACACTGTGAAATAATTGAGAGCTTAAGAATTTATAGGCTCACCTGCTTAGGAGAGGAAAGCTGTGGAAAAGCTGGAACAGCTCAGTTGCTAAGTACAGGCAGAACTGGTCTTCCAGGAGATAACCAAACTACTTTCACCCCTATCAAAAAAAAATGCCCTTTTGAAACTGTCTGAATCTCTTTTTACATCCTTATAATGAAAGAAATTCTTTCAAATTTAAATTAATTAGGTGTGAACAGGCATGCTTCTTAAAAATAACAATTATATCTGAAAATGTTAAGAGGTTGGCTGTTAATAAACCGTGTACTCCTTAGGGCAAATCAAGTCAATGAAGTTACTTTTTTTCTAATATCAGAGACTCTGCAGGAGAGGAATGTAGGTAATTTTGGTGTAAAGAGAGCTTGGATGGGAGAAGACATGCTTGGATGGATTGGGACAATGTGGTAATCAGGGTAATTAGCACCTGGCACTATGAAGTAGAAGAGAAGCAGATAAGAGAAGTGAAAGGATACCAAGGACAAAATGTACCCAATTTACAAACTGCCTAGGATCGCTTCAAGACACAGAACCACATCTTTCGCTCTCGTTTCTGCACTTCACCCCTTGCTCTCTGGTTAGTACCGTGGTTCACCTGCTCTAAATTAAGGATTACGTGAAGGATTCTAAGAGGAAGCTTCTTTTCAAGGTGAACGTCACTAAATACCATCACTGTGCTGCTCACTTTCCTTACAGTCACAAAACTGTGCCTTCCCAATGCTCCTATTGGTACTGTTGAGGGAACAATTAACTTTCTGCTACTTTGGAAGGTCCTGAATTCTCAGAAAAGACTTGTGCCGATTTCACCACCTGAATAAAAATCTGAAATACAGGTAAGAATGATTCAAAGACTGCATAAAACTGATTAACTTCACTCAAGGGAAAAAAATCACCGACACAAACGCTTTTACTAATTACCGTATTGCCACTCTATAAAAACATGGTAGCTTTACATTTAAACAAATGATAGTTCCACTAACTGAATTTCCACCACCTTGTTGAATGCTAAGCCTAATTTAATTTTATTTTTTGATGAAATTTGTGTAAAATCACCCCTTAGTTTTATGAAATCCAGATAATATAGACTGTTTGCCATGATTTGGTGCATAGCTTGTCTTTTTATTTTCTTTTCAATCCATGTAAATTTGGTAAATAAATAATAAAGTAGAACAAACACAGCGATAGCTCTCCACTTCTTTTCTTCCAGTTTCCACTTCTCCATCAAGAAACCGACGTTTAGAGGAAATGTGGGACGACAAAAAGTCACTTTGTTTTTATATTTCACAAAAAAACCACCAAAAGTGCAAGGAAAAAGGATTCCAGTATTTCTTTTAATTCCTATATAGGCTTTGACTAGCTTTAAGTAACCACAACCCCTATGTTCGGTACAGATTAAAAGAGACCTTATATTTAGACCACTTTAACTTTTTAGGAGATGTGGAATAAACATTTAATTTATCTTTAGTTGAATCTCAGTGTTTACCATTAAAAAAATCACACAGCACTGAGAGGCATAAAAGAAGACTTGAATAAATGTTGAATAAATGACCCATATTTGTGGGTCAGAAAACTGGTCCTTCAACCACCCATGCAACGCCAACTTCTGCCAGAGCTCAGCTTCCTTAGTTAGGCCTGTCATGAAATACCCAGGGATCTCCTGGTTCACTTAACTAGTCAACTAGTATCTTTGGAATTTTTCTTTCAATCTGAGCCACCACCATCATCTCGCTGCCTTTCAAACTCTATACATCACTTTATCCTGAGTTTCCTTTGCCTAAAAATGACCCTGCTGCACTTGAGTCATAATTTCTACCCTCATGCTTCCCTCTTTCTGATCCTTTTAGCTCTGTTTCCTCCCATCTGTCTTAAGAGCAACTCTTGAAAACAAATGCGAGTCTACAATTGCAGAATAATGACAGAGAGCAAACCAGAACCATCTGGGGAGCTTTTTCAAAATATAGATACCCAGAGCCTGACCATCAGGTACTTCAGTTCACTAGGTCTTGGGTGGGGCCTCAACACATGATTTTGAAAAAGTCTCCAGAAAACTCTGATATACCTCTCTGAAAGAGAGGTGTTCTCTGAAACTATTTTTAGGCTTTTACTTGAAGAATCTATATGCATAAGGGATGGGGGCAGATTTGAAATCAAAAAGATAAACATCAAATTAGGAAACTAAAAAAGTTGAAATTATTGGTACAGTAGTCATTAATGCTACACGCTGATGTCTAGTTCTCACCTCTTTCCTAAACCCAGAAAACTGCCCCTTTCCCTGCTTGTTTGAAGTTAGACCTGGCCGTGTTACTGGCTGTTGCCAAGGAAATGAGAGCAGCAGTGGCATGTGTCACTTCCAAGCAGAAGTCTTTAAGGGACAGTATACAAGTCACCATCTCCCCTGTTTTCTTGCCTTGATGATGGTGGAAGCACGTGTCGAGATGGAGCCTCCACCAGCTGAGGTCCCTGGGTGACTATGATAAAAAGCCTCTGTCATCAAAATGTCAGTACAACTGAAATCTCACAAGGTTGTAATCTATCATAACATTAATAATAATAATTTTTAAAAAAGCCTCTGTCATCCCAGTTAGGACATGAAATGGGAGGAAGAAATAAACATTTTTTGTGATAAATCATTGAAATATGAAAGTTGTTCATTAATGCAGCATAATCTACTCTATTCTGACTGATAAACTGGCAAATCTTTTCTTCACGGAGTCTAAGCAATTAAAAGAGAATTGGTCCTATCTTCATCAATAACTAAAAATTTACAAACACAGTGTTGAATAGAGGGAAATGAGGGAAATTTAGGCTCAGAGAGACCTAAGTTTAAATCCGTGGTATCACTTGCTTGTTGTAATAATAAAAATAGCATATAATGACTGTATAATATACAATTACTTTTAGTAACCACTAACATTTATGAAGTACTTACTATGTACCAGGCACTGTGCTGAGCACTTTGCATGGATTGTTTCACTTACTCTTATATTTTACAGATGAGAAAATGAAGTTTAAAGAAGTTAAATAACTTCCCCAAGGTCACAAAGCTAGGAAATAGTGGAACAAGGATCTTAATGCAGGCAATAAAGCCACAAAGCCTGTAACCACTACTCTACACTGCCTCTCTGTGTGACTTTGACCAAATCACGTGACCTCTTTGAATCTGTTTCCACAATTTAGAATGGGGTTGAGAGCTGCCAGGCAGGGTTTTTATGAGGTTTAAAAGAGATAATTGGATAAAGCAATTAATAGGATTCCCGGCATATAACAGAAATTTAAGACATGGTAGCTATTTTTTTTTTCAATTTATTTTAGTGAGGTCATAATTTTTTATAATATTGTGTGATTTCAGGTATACATTATTATTTATCAATTTCTGTATAGACTGCATCATGTTCACCACCAATAGTCTAATTTTTATCAGTCACTACATATATATGACCCTTTACCTCTTTTGCACACACCGCAACATCCTTCCCCTCTGGTAATCATCAATCTGTTCTCTTTATCCATCTGTTTGATTATTTTCCACATATGAGTGAAGGCATGCAGTGTTTGTCTTTCTCCATTTGGCTTATTTTGCTTAACATCATACCCTCAAGGTCCATCCATGCTGTTGCAAGATGGATGATTGTGTCTTTTTTATGGCTGAGTAGTACTCCATTGTATATATATACCACTTCTTTATCTATTCATCAGTTGATGGGCACTTGGATTGCATTCACATCTTGGCTATTGTGAACAATGCTGCAATAAATATAAGGGTGCATACATCTCTTTGGATTGTTGATTTCAAGTTCCTTAGATAAATACACAGTAGTGGGATAGCTGGATCGTATGGTATTTTTATTTTTAATTTTTTGAGAAATCTCCACACTGTTTTCCATAATGGCTGTACCAGTTTGCATTCTCAATAGCAGTGTATGAGGGTTCCCTTTTCTCCACATCCTCTCCAACATTTGTTATTTTTGGTCTTGGTGATTATAGCCATTCTGACCGATGTAAGGTGATATCTCATTATAGTTTTGATTTGCATTTCCCTAAAAATTAGTGATGTTGAACATCTTTTCATCTGGCTGTTGGCCATCTATACATCTTTTTTTTCTTTTTTTGAGGAAGATTAGCCCTGAGCTAACATCTGCTGCCAATCCTCCTCTGTTTTGCTGAGGAAGACTGCCTGTGAGCTAAAATCCGTGCCCATCTTCCTCCACTTTATATGTGGACACCTACCACAGCATGGCTTGCCAAGCAGTGCCATGTCCACACCCGGGATCCAAACCAGTGAACCCCAGGCCACCGAAGTGGAATGTGCATACTTAACTGCTGCAGCACTGAGCTGGCCCCTATAAATCTTCTTTGAAAAAATGTCTGTTCATTACATCTGCCCATTTTTTGATTGGGTTGTTTGTTTTTTCATTGTTGAGTTGTATGAGATCTTTATATATTTTGGAAATTAACCCCTTGTCAGATATATTATTTGCAAATATTGGCTCCCAGTTGGTGGGCTGTCTTTTTATTTTGGTCATGGTTTCCTTTGCCTTCCAGAAGCTTTTTAGTCTAATAGAGTCCCATTTGTTAATTTTTTCTCTTGTTTCCCATGCCTGAGTAGACACGGTATTTGAAAATATGCTGCTAAAACTGAAGTCAAAGAGTGTACTCCCTATATTTTCTTCTGGGAGTTTTCTGATTCAGGTCTTACATTCAACTCTTTAATCTATTTTGAGTTAATTTTTGTGTATGGTGTAAGATAATGGTCTACTTTCATTCTTTTCCATGTCCCTGTCCTGTTTTCCCAACCGCATTTATTGAAGAGACTTTCCTTTCTCCATTGCATGTACTTGGCTACTTTGGAGATTAGCTATCCATAGATGTGCTGTTTTATTTCTTGGGTTTCAATTCTGTTCCGTTGGTCTGTGTGTCTGTTTTTGTGCCAGTACCATGCTGTTTTGATTATCATAGCTTTGCAGTATATTTTGAAGACAGGGATTGTGATGTCTCCAGCTTTGTTCTTTTTTCTCAGGATTGCTTTAGCTATTCGGGGTCTTTCATTGCCATTGGGATTCTGATTGGAATTGCATTGAATCTGTAGATTGCTTTAGGTAATAT